TACTCATTGTATAGAATGTCTTTATGTTTTTCATTAGTTGTTACTTTATTTAATGCATGGAATATCAATTGCATTATACTTTGCCGTTCGATTTCATGCAATGACTGTAAATTCTGTGGAATGCTAAATTTTAAGCATTAAAGGTATTATATACGTTAGTTTTCGTACCTTATTATGCATTTGTTTACATTAACTTATGTTTTTTCTTATGAAATAATGAACGTCTTAGGACAATTTTACTTCTATTTTTCATCGTGCAAAAATTATTACTATCATAATTATGAGGCACGGTTTATCATTCGAGTCAATATATCGATAAATAAAGTATTGTCAGCATAAGAGACATCCTTAGAAAGGATAAGTACGTACAAATTTTCGCGATAATCATCTAAGATGATAAATGGAGATTTTCGATTACTTCTTCACGGAAGTAAACTTTTAGGGAAAATTGTGATAATGAGAGAGGGAAATCTACTTCTAATTTCCCCAGAGTTGTCCAATAATGAGCTCGTATTCCCTTTCCAGCGCAATCAACAGTTTACGCTAAAATTTGTTATAAATGAAAAAGATCGAAACGAACTAATGAGCGCTTCTGCAAAAATAGATAATTTTATGAAATAAAGTGCTTCAAACAATGGAATATCTTAAACTATTCGAGTTATTATTGCATATAATATACTATGCAATTAACAACACAAACATTACTTGTTTAATTTTGTCTTGATCTCCATAGATTATATTTTATAACTATTCAAAAATAATCAGCACTTGCTTTAATCCTTCTATTACTTTCTTAATTTGAGTATTTATGTGGAATTAATTTAACCTCCATTCTTATAGAAAGAAAACTTAAGTTCTTCTTGGCCTTAATGAAAATACTTCCTAACTCATAAAATTCATTATAACTCATAAAGTTTGAAATATAGAGAAAGCATAGAAAAAATTACAGAATGATGAAAAAATAAAAATAAAAATTATTAAAATGAAACAAAATAACAATTAAAAAATTTAAAAAATATAAATAAAAATTCGGGAAAAAGTATGCATATAATCTTCTCATCAGATCACACGGTTATATCCGCAAGAAAGAGTGCTTTCTAATATTGCATCAATATACCCAACGCAAAATATATCAATACAATAGTGTGAGGAGCATTCATAAAAATTTTTGAAACAAAATAGAACACATTAAGTAATAAATATCACGCAAAAGCAGAAAATAAAATGTAAAGAAAAAACAGAACAAGACGCAAAACTAAATCTATAATGCGGGTAGCGAATTCAAATAAACTTACATGGGCAGGAAACTTTCAAGAATGATTTAAAATATTTTCTTAATAAGATTACCAGATTATAAAAAACGTTCACCCTGCAAAACTGTTTCTTAACAATAACACTTTTATGGCAGTAAAGCTGACTGTTCGTACACTGGGAAGTTAAGTACTTATTGGACAGATAAATCACATGGTGCGATCCGGTTTTTCATGTGAAAATATGTTATTGTGATCACCAAAAAATTAATAAACGCTATAAAGGTACCGTTTAATTCTAAAATATTTCGCGTACTTTAATCCAAAAGTATTTACCTGCAATATTTATTTATCATATTTGATTATTATCATTACAAAATAAATGCATAAAACTGAAACCAGTGTTTCTTTATAATTTGGAAATGCATGTCATTACCTTAACGCAACATTTTATGATAAACAAAATCGATGTTTTAGATATTAATATTATTAAGTAGCTATTTAAATTTTGGTTTCTGCGAAATTCCCTGACTTCTTTTCGCCAAAAAAAAAATAATTAAGCAACCGTTCTCATAGTTAATTCCTAATAACGGTTAACAATTGTGTATTCATTAATTCAATTGCTTATGCTGACTCAACTCAATAAAAGTACATGCATTTTATTTACTCTTCAATTCATTTAAAGTTCCACCGTCTTTCTAAAATATTTCTAAAAGTGATCAGACTAAGTCCATTTATAACACTAATTATAGGCTAGTTTAGGGTTAGGGAGACCTCTGGTCAAGACACTTTAGAACAGTCACTTTTTTTCTTTTGCACCCTTTTAACGTTTAATGACTGGACATGCACAGTTTGTAAAGCTGTATCGGTTAAAAACTAAATTTATGGATGGAGTTTCTCTAATAAACAAAAAAAATTTATTAGTTTTAAGTTTAATCTCAATAGAATAGAAAATTAATATGTGAAACCAAATCTATGTCAACTCAATAAAAGTTTCGGGATGTCTTGCTTGAATAATTTTTTTTAAATTTGGATGTTGCAAGCTATTCATATTCAAGGAATAAAGAAAAATTATTCTTTTGTTATCGTTGAGGCGTTTTGAGAGAAGTGATCAGGAAAGGCGCAGCCCTTTACTACTTATGTAAATTTTTTTCTTTAAATAGCTTTCAAATTAATCAAGAAATCTCACGATGTTTGCTTGAATATAAAAACAAGTATTTAAAAAAAAACTCTGCAAATTTTACTAATAAAACATGAAATCTGCTACAAATGGTTTACATTGCATTTGTTAAGTTAAATAAATTTCATTATCAAGCAAACTTTCCTTTTTTCTTAAACAATATATTTTAGAACTAATTTTACTTAAAAAAATTTTAATATTTTAATTAAAATCTTCTAATTGAATAATTTTATTAAAATACTAAGCATAAAATGCCACTAATTATGATATCTTAGCATGTATCATTTTGTAACATTTCCCATGTTTGTTTTTTTTATGAAGTCTGTAAAGTAAAACAGTAAATACAATACAATCTAATCTTTTTTCCTCTTTGAATATTTAAATTTATTTTACTCACTATTTTATAAATAAACCTATTTTATCTCAAAGAAATAGTTTTTTACAACACCACTGTAGTCAAATTCTATATTGCTGTAAAAATATTTTTCTTAAACAGTAAATAAATATTTTAAGATTTCTTCTTTTTAAAATACCATATTAGTTTCAAAATAATGAAAACAACAAAAACTGCGTATAATTATTGTTAAATTAAAAATTTATGAAAATTGCGGGACCACTATACTATTTTATCATTAAAAAATTATTATAGACTATTTTACCTACTTAAATTAAATGAAGGATGAAATGCAGATGACTTAACTTGCTTTACGGTATATTTTTCAACCCATAAGTGTTACCTGTATATAAAATCTGTAAATATTTGCATGACCCCTTGTCAGAGAAATCCGTCTAGGAGGCGATTGTTTAACACCGGAATCCCTCCTCTTCATCACACTTTCCACTTACGGGACACTACTGGACGGAAGTTTATGGCCAGGCCTAAACTCCCATCTCCCTCCCCTTCCCTTCACAAAATACAATAAATCAGTTACTTTCCTCCCACCCCTGCACCCCACATTCTAATGTTGTGAAAGGGGGGGGGCAATTTAAACAATGTCTTTGGCCTTCTAAACTCATGGTGCATAAAGGGTTTGTTTGGATAAAGGATTTTCATAGGGCGTTTATTACGTCACTCTCGACCCCCTTTTCTATTTCAGTGATGTGTATTTATGGTCAGTTTTAAAGTTACTACAAGAATAAAATCAATATTGATATTTATGTTGATTGATAGTGTGGTTTTCGCAATAAGAATCAGAATTTCAACGTCTCATTTTATTCTTATTTTTTTATTTTATTTATTTATTCATTTTTATTTATTTATAGATTTTTTTTTAAAGAAAGTATTTTTTTTCTCTTTTAGGGATACCTTTTCTTTTTGGGAAGTGACTTTCAAAAGAGTTATCATAGACATTTTAAGGAAGGTGCTTTTTTTAAGAAAAAACGGTTTGGATATTTCTTTTTGAAGTTTTGTAAAGGATACAAAGCTTTGGAGAAATTTTTTAATACTTAGAATGGGTATTTTTTAATATTTTTTTGAGTATGGGTATTTTAAACGGAAACATATTCATTAAATCTTCATTTTGAAAGATCGCAAGTACCAAATAACAAATTGAATGATACTTTCTGTTTAACCAGAAGTTTAGTGGAACGGAAACTGGATTATTTTTTTCACTTTTTAACCTTCCCTAAAAATATTGATTTATTTTTTTTTATGTGGGAAAGCTTTATTTTAATGAGGGCTACAAACATTAGAACATTTACAGTTTTTATTTTATTTAAAAAGCATAAATAAGAAGAAAGAAATACACACAGTTTTGAAAAGTTTTTGTTGCACACTTTCATTCAAAATACTGGCAATTTTTTTAAATTAAGTTTAAAAAAAAGACTTAAGACATTTAAAAAAAGGTAAAATCTTGATTACTTGTATCAAGATTTATTAACAAACATAACATACATGTATGGGACTATATTTTACCTGAGATATGCTAAAAAGTTTTCTATGCTAAAATATATCGCACATTATGCTAAAAAGTTTTTGAATAAGAATAGTAAAAATGTTGTAATTTTACTTCAATTTTTCTTTTCATACAACCACGGATCATGCATGAAACAGGAATGATTTTTCCTTATTGAATCAAACAAAATTTTATACTTACAACATTATGTCTACTAAAAGCATACAAAACGGGATTGAAATTATTTAATTTTTTTAAAAATTAAGCCACACAATACTTAACAATAAGGAGCAATGATAACGAAAAAATTTTTGAGCTGTTGAAAAACATTTTTCCTCACAAACTGAAAAAATTTCCCCACATTTTTAAAATTAGAACACCAATTAATTTTTAAAAAAATTATTCTCTATTTCAATTAATTTTACTATTCAAACTCAATATAAATATCAAAATTCGTAAAATTTTTAAAGGACAAGTAGCTACAGAAAAAGGCCTCAGCAATTTATGAAAAAGCGAAATTAGTAGAATCCATTTTCATAAATTATAACCCATACGCATGTCTATATGAAATAATTAAGAGGAAAAAAATAATATTTTTTTCACCTTTTGAATTTCTTTACAGAAAAACTGAGGAAAAATGCATTTGTCACAAGAAATAAACATAAAAAAACTTACCTCACTTAGATGGAAACCATGGAGGTTTTTGTGTCTTTAATACTTAAAAATTTCAATTAACCACTATCAGTTTGAATAGAAATTTCTGAAAGGAAAAAAAAAATGGAAATGCATTATATTCCAACAGTTACAAAACACATAATTAAACATATTATTCAATGAATAAATAGTTTGAAAGTTCATCAATCAAAGTTTGCATGTCAAATAGTAATTATTTTTTAATTAAATTTTTTTTATATCAATTACAGAAACAGCCTGGAATTTAGAATTCATAGATTAAATTTATGAGCGCATTTCAATCTGTTTTCTGATTTTTTAAAAATAAAAAAAAGTTCCAAAACACATAATCAACTTATTATTCAATGAATAAATAGTTTGAAAGTCCATCAATCAAAGTTTCCATGTCAAATAGTAATTTTTTTTAAATTTAAATATTTTTTATATCAAATACGGAAACAGCCTGCAATTTAGAATTCATAAATTAAATTTATGTAATGCTTTTTAATCTGTTTTCTGATTTTTTAAAAATTATAAAAAGTAGCAAACACAAATTTCTCATTGCTTCTTCTGATTGTCAGAAACATACAAAGGATAAATCAGACTAAAATATTTATATCCGGTAAATAAATCAAAAATCGTTAACAAGCGATTCATTTCAGCAAAGTATTAAATTTTTAATAAGATTAAAAACTAGAAACACCAATTTTTAAAAAAGTTTAAGTATTATTTGCAAATAATTTTTATGGGTCTCATTAAAGGAACAACAAAACTAAAATTAGAATTTAACGAAAAAAAAATTAATAAATGTAACATTAAAACTTTCACTGACAGAAGTGTTCAGTAAACGAAAGAAATCCTGAAAGAGGACCAAAATAGGAAGCTGCAACGTTAAAACTTTCACCGACAGAAGTGTTCAGTAAACTAAACAAATCCTGAAAGAGGACCAAAATTTGAAGTTTACGGGAAGAAACTGTAATAAATGCAATATTAAAAATTTCTCTCACAGAAATGTTCATTAAACGAAACGAATCATCAAAGAGGACTAAAATATGAAGTTAAAGGGAAAAAAACTGTAATAAATGCAACGTTAAAACTTTCACTGACAGAAGTGTTCAGTAAACTAAACAAATCCTGAAAGAGGACCAAAATTTGAAGTTTACGGGAAGAAACTGTAATAAATGCAATGTTAAAAATTTCATTCACAGAAATGTTCAGTAAACGAAACGAATCATCAAAGAGGACTAAAATATGAGGTTAACGGAAGAAAAAAACTGTAATAAATGCAACGTTAAAACTTTCACTGACAGAAATGTTCAGCAAACTAAACGAATCCTGAAAGAGAATGAAAAGATTCTCTTTTGTTACACCCCCTCTCCTAAACTCTCTCCGAAATGGCTCAATTGAAAAATTGCGAGAGACTCCGGCTACTATAGTAGATTGCCGGAATGCTATTTCTTGACAAAGCCCTCCCCGGGAAGTTACGCTGCCGGAACTGTCCGGCTGCTTCGCGTGCCGCATAAGTCACAGAGTAGTCCGGCAATGAAGTTGGTGTGAAGGAATTTTTTTTCCCCTCTAATCCCGGAAAATAAGTAAAGTGGCTCGTTTCTTTTTTCCCTTTTTTTCCCCTCTCTCTCTCTTTCTGTTTTCGTCTTCGATGTCATAGATTTTTTAGAACACCAAATGTGTTGCTTTGACTGAAATATTATCTGGGGGATTGCTTTTACCCCTAAAAATACTTATTTAGTAAATTCCTGGTGCAGACTACGCGGAGGTGCTGGAGTTAAGGTCGATAAAGTTTGGTGTTCTTATGTTCTAATACTGAATGTTAACTAGTTATTTATTTTCAGTAAAACTACTTTACTAAGACGTAAGTAATAGACTATATATTAACCAAAATACAGGATCCATTTAATACTCATTTACTAAAACGTAGTTACTGACTATTTATTGAGTAAACGACATTAACAAATTAATACTCGTTTCCAAGGACATAGTAACTGGCTACTTATTACGAAAGCTACATTGACAATTTAACATTTATTTACTAGAAGATGACGGCAGACTACTTAGTGAGTAAAATACAGAAACAATTTTATGCTCATTTCTTAAGATATAGTAACAGAATACTTATTGATTAAAAATACAGGATCAACTTAATACTTATTTATTAAGACATATGGACAGACTGCTTACTGAGCTAAATACATTAAGAATTTAATGCTCATTTAATGAAATATCGTAACAAACTATTGATCATATTACTAGAGCACGTAACCTGATAATACAATTTAGAATATTATGTTTAAGGCTACAGTGGACCTTTATATTGCCAAAAATTGATAAAAATTTCGTTTTTTTTTTTTTTTNTTATTGATTAAAAATACAGGATCAACTTAATACTTATTTATTAAGACATATGGACAGACTGCTTACTGAGCTAAATACATTAAGAATTTAATGCTTATTTAATGAAATATCGTAACAAACTATTGATCATATTACTAGAGTACGTAACTTGATAATACAATTTAGAATATTAAGTTTAACAATCGTACACGGAAAAAGAAATTCTGGTAAAATTACCGTATGTATGGTAATGACATATCTGGTATAGAAAAAATCATCATTCGGGTTAATAAAAACAAACTATACGGTATTTACACTGTTCATTTTGAGAGTTTTTCCGTTCATATGGTAATAGTTTACCGGAATTTCTGGTTTTTAAAACTATAGTTCTCATTACCACACATTTAGTAAAAGTTAGAAAACTGAAAGGTAAATTTGACCAAATGTGTGATTTTTATACTATGCTCTAATGCATCATAATTAAATTAACAAATTTTACCTCATTTAACAATTTTATCACACATTATAAAATTGTATTTTATTGTTAATTTTGCCAAAATTATTTCTAAAGTGCTTCGGTAACCGAGTTTTTAATATTTTTTTTTTTGATGTTTCCATAGAGCCAAGAACTCTTAGAATTCTACCCTATTCTGATAGTTTTTACCATACTTTTTTCTTCTCAGTGTAGTACGTATAATATTTAATACTTTTTATCAACAAGGTAACAATGCCTTTATATTCGCTTATGCTATTCTAGCATAATAAAGCATACCTTTATAAAGATGTGGTTTATTGAAAAAAGAAAAGTAATCTGACTTTCGGTGACATGGATTGGATAACCACTAAAACCATTATTGTTGCTACAGGAAGAACCTGACCCATTATTGATATAAATATGATTCAAGTCAGTAGTTTAGTCCTTGCCAGTAGAAAGCAGTACATTAAATTGACTAGTCATGACCAAGAATCGAACCTGATTGAGTATAGCTATTTTTTAAAAAAAACAAAATAACATAAAATGAATTTTTTCCCAAAAAGTAGTATTTGCTCCATTCTAACAATTTATTACATTAAATATTCAAACAGACAGGATTTAATTAATAATTGTATTTATTTTTACTTAAAACACATAAAACTATCCTGCTTTAACATTCAACGTATTTAGTAATTCTTACTATATATAAAAATTCAATGATGGTGTCGCAGTTTTCCATTGTTGTCGGCGCATTTTTATTGGCTGGAAAATCACGTGGTAGGATCCAGTTTTCCCTCATTAATTTCCATATTGTTTAGGTTGTCATCAGCATAAAATTAACAATAGTCGTAAAGGTATTGTTTTCCTTTGAATATTTTTGTATCCCTAATTTAAATTTATTTTCCAGTGCTGCTACTATTTGCGAGAGTATTAAATTATGGTTGTGAACTCAAATTTGCTTGAACAATACAATGCTATAAGAATATAAATGTTATTTTAAAAAATGATTACTTCTAAAATCACTTCCGTTCACCAAGAGATCTAATATTTGGGTAAAGTAATGTTTGAGAATAATATTTAGACGTGGGAAGTAGAGGCACAAGAGTAAGTAAACAGAATTCCTTTTTAGTACATATATGTTAAGTGAATAATTTTAACTTTAATCGAAAAATTGTTTTCTGCCAAGGAAAGACAATTATTGCGAAGCAGTGATCGGGGTTGGTGAGCGGCAGCGAACAGGGGGCTTAGCCCCCTAGTAGACTAATAAAATTTAACATTTTTACTCAAAGAAAAGTTTGCATTTAAGAGACTTAAGCTATGAAATTATTAGACTGATGGATATAAATTAAGGTTAATTTGACATTTACCATAGAAAAGAGACTGCCCAATGCAATTTCATTTTTTTTGTTGTTAAAAACAAATGCATTTACATTACTTTTAAAATTTGCAATATTAACTAATCAGACTTATGGGATTTTACTTATTAGTCAGCTTATTTTTATTAAAAACATAGATTTAGGTCACTTAAAGATTTAACTAGTGTAATAGTCAGATTAAAGTAAATTAAATTTTTTTACTAAAAATATATTTACTTATGCTTTTTTAACGTTTAATGTGTTAAATAGTCATACTGAGGTAATTTTATCTTTTACTACAAATAAATGCATTTATGTTTCTCTAATATTTACCATATTGTGTAGCCCGACTAACAAGACTTAATTTATTAATATATCTAATATTACTAAAAACACATGCATTTAAGATACTATTAAATGTATTAAATAAACAAAATGGATTTACGAACACCAAGTAAAATATTTTTATTTAATTCGAAACAAACAAAATCTTTGTCGACAAAAGTTATAGACTTAAAAGCAAGTTGCATGCATTATTTATGTATTTATTTTTTACTCTTTTTATAGTAATACAAAATTATGGTCATTGCAAACTAATATCCTATTATAATAAAAGGTATCTGAATCCATTATAAAGGAATTAAATAACTATAGCATATTCACTAATATTGATGCACGCTATCTGCGAGAATATGTGATTAAACATTATTCTCCTGCTATTTAGAATGAATTAAGACCATTAGTAAATAATAATTTTCATAATAGCTTAAACAAAGGACAAATTGCAAACAAATTCATGAATAATTGTCAAACAAAAGAAGCCTTTTCTATTCTTAATGCAAGGAATGAACTAAATTTCTAATCAACCAATGCTGAATGCAAATTAAATTATTTATGCGATATTATTTT